ATCATCTACTTTTAATTAATAAATTTTAATCTCTCAACGAGGAAGATTTCTACTTTTATTTCGTTCAAATTCGATCCTATATTATAAAAATCCAGATCTTCGATCTATTCTTCGGTAAAAATATTCTCGTATTCCTTCATCTACTTCTAATTAATAAATTTTAATCTCTCAACGAGGGAGATTTCTATTTTTATTTCGTTCAAATTTGACCCTATATTATAAAAATTCAAATCTTCAATCTGGAGGAAATTATTCTCTGATAAAGATATTCTCGTATTCCATCAAATTTTAATCTCTCAATGAGGGAGATTTTTATTTTTATTTCAAATTCGATCCTATATTATAAAAATCCAGATCTTCGATCTATTCTTCAGTAAAAATATTCTCGTATTCCATCGAATTTTAATCTCTCAATGAGGGAGATTTTTATTTTTATTTCAAATTCGATCCTATATTATAAAAATCCAGATCTTCGATCTATTCTTCAGTAAAAATATTCTCGTATTCCATCGAATTTTAATCTCTCAATGAGGGAGATTTTTATTTTTATTTCAAATTCGATCCTATATTATAAAAATCTAGATCTTCAATCTATTCTTCGGTAAAAATATTCTCGTATTCCATCATCTACTTCTAATTAATAAATTTTAATCTCTCAATGAAGGATTTTCTATTTTTATTTCGTTCAAATTCGATTCTATATTATAAAAATCCAGATCTTCGATCTATTCTTCGGTAAAAATATTCTCATATTCTATCATCTACTTCTAATTAATAAATTTTAATCTCTCAACGAGGGAGATTTCTATTTTTATTTCGTTCAAATTCGATCCTATATTATAAAAATCTAGATCTTCAATCTACTCTTCGGTAAAAATATTCTCGTATTCCATCATCTACTTCTAATTAATAAATTTTAATCTCTCAACGAGGGAGATTTCTATTTTTATTTCGTTCAAATTCGATCCTATATTATAAAAATTCAAATCTTCAATCTGGAGGAATCTATTCTCTGATAAAGATATTCTCGTATTCCATCAAATTTTAATCTTTCAATGAGGGAGATTTTTATTTTTATTTCAAATTCGATTCTATATTATAAAAATCCAAATCTTGAATCTATTCTTCGATAAAAATATTCTCGTATTCCATCATCTAACTAATAAATTTTAATCTCTCAACGAGGGAGATTTCTTCGATCCTATATTATAAAAATCCAGATCTTCAATCTGGAGGAATCTATTCTCCTCCGGTTACGCAAGTTGCCCGCCTCTCGACTTTTACTCTCCCCCCAATTGCGTTCGTTCCTTCGATCCAAGCATCCGGATGTCGCGCTTCCGGATCCAATCCATCACGAAAATTATTTCGAATCGATCGTTTTTTTTAAAGAGAGCGAATATAAACTATTGTATATATAAACGATTGATCGTTGATTTTCCAGGTCGTGGCAAGAAGAACAACAACATGGGCCCGTTGATCGCAGCTGCTGTGCTGAAGATCGGTCTGATCGGAGGTCTCGCCTTTAAAGCGCTCGCGCTATTGGTCGGGAAAGCGTTGCTCCTCTCGAAGATCGCTCTGTTGCTGGCCGGTATAATAGGCCTGAAGAAGCTGTTCTCCCAGCAGAAACACGTGACGTACGAGGTGGTCGCCCATCCTCATCACAGCTCCAGTCACACGTTCAGCTCGGACCACGGCCACGGCGACAGCTACTCGAGCGGTTGGGCCAGAAGTTTCCACGGCCCTCAGGAGCCTATTTCCGGTGTTCAGGGCGACGCCGCCCACGAGCTGGCCTACTCGGCGCACGCGAAGTAAAGAAAGAAAAAAGAAGGAAAGGAGAATCCCAGCGGAATTCGGATTCGCGGTACTCGAGATTTTTGCCGGCGTCATTTTGCCGGACAAATTTCCATTCGAGGCCGCCAATTTTTCTTGCCAACGCGCTCTTCTCGCCTCCTCTCCACTTCTCTTCGTCTTCTTCTTCTTCCTTGTATTCCCGTAATTTTTATTATCTCTTTCTTCTTCATCTCTCTCTTTCTTTCTCTCTCTTCGCCCGATTTCTTCCTGAAGAGAGACAACTCTTTGCTGTTCGACCGTAGACGGTAGACTTGGACAGATCGTGACGGAGTTTGGACAGAGTTTCTTTCGAGATGGAACGCAAAATAATTTTCAAATTTTGCGTACACGGATGCAAGTGTCGCCATCGATATTTTTTCCCCGTTGATACAATTTTTATTCGTGCCAAAAAAATCGATATCCTCGCAGCGTTTTCCGACGCTTGGGGAAGAATTATATAGAGAGAATATTATTCGATCGAGGAATCGCGTTCCCACGAGCTCATCGAGCGCTCGGATCACGTTTACAGGTAGACGGACGAACGAGACGCACCCATCGACACGGAATACTATTACTACTACTACTACTACTACTACTACATCGACGAGTGGACTGTTTCCATAACAACTGTAACTATACTCTATTTATCGACTAATTTATGATTAACTTATTCGCCACCATTGCGAGGCGCAGAACTGTAAAATAATGTTATTATTTACGTTGTTATTTACTTGTATAAATAAATATTTATTTTGTTGTTATTTATACACACGTTTGCATCTAATCTTGTATAAAAAAAAAACTAGTCCAATATTTGGAAGAAACTTTTGTGTTTTCAATTCCCATCCCTATTTTGTTTAATAGTTTTATACGATATTTATTGGAATTATAAAAAAAAAAGAAGACTGTGTACATAAATATATTATCAAATTATCGAAGAACGCGTGGCAATAAAATAAATAATTGTTTTACTTAAATGGAAAGGTAGGTGGAAACGAGTTTTCTCGATTGCGGATCATTACTTGAATCACTGTACTTGGACGACAGAGATTACACGTTTCATCGTGATTAAATTCGAATAAGAAATTCGCGACCGTACAATTTTTATTAAATAAGGCCATTTTGCAAAAGAAGAAGGAGAAACGTAACGTAAAAAGAAAATATATAAATATTCCTATAAAATTTTTTCATTCTAGATCCAGAAATTATATAATTTATACTAATTACTGAAACGCCGTTATATAGATCGAATAAATGAAAATTAACAGGTTGATATTAATTAACGCGAGTTAAAAATTATACCATCAAAGTTCCATCCGTATTTATCTTAAGAGTAGTAAAAAAAATGGTTATACACGGAACGAAAGTTCGATAAATTATTTCTAACTGTTCGATAGGAAAAATATGCGATATATTCGTGGTATTCGTCACGTCGTGCTCCGCTTTGCGGAACTTAGCGGGACTTCAACACCACCAGATGGCGTCGAGCTAGGAATTTGACTCGACTCACGACCAATCTTTATCCTCGGATGCATGCGCAATTATAAATCCATCCACTATTCGTTCCAAACTTCCAACTTCAACTTCTTACTCGTAAAAAAATTTTTCAGCATTCTTCCACGCGTGCGAAAAAAATTACACATTCAAACACGTTTAATCGAATTTCTTCTTTGCTTTCGAGCGTAAAATCGTAACGTGGAATCTTCGAGATAAAACAAGGGCTTGCATCCCAAATTCTCGACAGAAGAAGAAAGAAGCCTCCCTACTGATTGTCCAAGGGAAAACGAAAAAGTAGCGGCGATCCAAGTAGAGGCATCTCTCATTCAAATAAACCGTCCCCGTTTCGCCCGTGGCCGCTTTCTCCGCCTCGATCGGGAAGGATCGGAAAGAAGATGACGACGACGACGAC